GGCGGACAAACGCGATTAAGGCGAAGTTGGGTCCAAAAGTAACCCGAGCATTCACCGGTAGCGCTGCTGTCCCGCGATTATGCGACCAAAGCTGTCACAGCTTTTTTTCGTGGTTTTTTTTTGCCCAATTTTTTTATCACGCGGCGTACGCGTGAAACCAAACAACAGAGCGGGAAACTATATTTCGTTGATTTTTTTTTATGCCAGTGGCACGTGTTGTTGGTGGGAGGGGAAAATTGAATGTCTAGTCTAGACCTGGCGACAAGACTCACCTGTAGGCCAGATTCATGCACTTGAAGAGCTTGGTGAGTGAAGTTTCGATCTCCAGATGTGAGGTGATCATGCTCATGCTGTTCTCATCGCACTCCTGGTCCATGCTATTGAAATGGTGGCCCACTGTCTGGGGCACGTAGAGCTGAACGTCGCGACAGGTGTTGGCCGGGGAGCCGGGCTTGTCCAAGCTGGGATCCTCTGGATCCAGCATCTTCACCTCGCCGTCGTCTTCGAGATCATCTTGCGCCTCCTCGGCCTCGAAGTGTGAGACCATAAACTGGCCCGAGTGGATCGATTCCCGTTCGGCTTTCAGTATGGCGGCCGCCGTGAGATCCGCTGAGGTTGGGGAGCATCCTGTGGGTCCTGGTCCATATTGAAGGTGTGGAAACAGCGACTGTTGCTGTTGCATCTGCAACTGTTGCTGCTGCTGTTGCTGCTGCAGCTGTTGTTGCATCTGTTGTTGCATCTGTTGTTGCAGCTGATGCTGCTGCTGTTGATGCGGAAACATTTGGTTTGTGCGTTGATAGCTCTCGTATTTATTCAGCATCATCTTCAGCAAAAAGTGCAGGAGGAGGGTATGGTATAGCCTTTCTCTTTTACTGTTTTTATAGTTTGTGGATGTTGTGGAACGGGGGTACACGGTTGACTTTTAGCTGTGGAGCCTGTGACCTGGGTACACTTTTCGGTGCTGTGGAACCTGTGTCCTGGTCACTCTTTTGGCTAGTGTGGAACGTGTCTGTCTGGGACTCTACTGCTTGTGTTTGGGCACACTTAATCGTTTTTTAATGTTTCTCATAGCAATTAACGGTTCTCGCTCGTAGTTTTGGGGACTTTCCATAGCTCTATAAATGGTTTAAGAGATGGTTAGAGATGGCAATAGATGGGTTTTTATCTTGGGTATACTATATTCATATATTCTGCGCATTTTCATTTGTTTATTAGCACTTTTATATTTTATTTATATTTCTTAGTTCTTGTTTTTAAGGCTAATTAACGCTCTTTTTGGTTTATAAACAATTTCCGATTAAGTCATTGATTTGTTTGCTATTTTTAAGCGTGTATTTGATTGACACTTTAACACTTTTTTAATAGATAGCATATTTAACACTGTTTACACTCTTTACTCCATTTACGCTCTTTCAAACTGCTTGCTCTTCTGGTTTCTGCCTTTTTGTCTTCTTAACTACCCCCTACGAAGCTCCTATCACTGCTTTATTTCTTTCAAACTTCTACATACGTTCTTCATTTCACACTGCTTGTATCATAAACACTTGTTAACTCCTCTTTCTACACTGCTTCAGCATCTTTCTTCCTGATACTGCTTACTTGTCTTCTTGCTCGCTTTCACACCTAACACTGCTTTCCTCTCTCTCTGGCTCTGTTATACACGTTCTAATGGTAAACACGCCCCGCTTTTTGCCGTTATATGCGTCACAAAGCACAATAATAATAGCAATAATCATACACACACAAACACACTCACTATAAACCAGTCGAGGTGGAGGGGATAGCACGAACGTCAGTAGCGCCAACGCGCGGCAATTGCCGATAATGAAAATTTTCAATTGCTTCTGCTTCTTTCTCTACCTCCGCTGCTGCTTGTGGTTCTCCGCGGAATAACTCTCCCGTCAGCACGCGCCCAACGAATTTTAACAAATGAATCGCGTATGAAGCTCTTGCTGGAGCAATGGGGGCTTTTCCATTTCACGAACAACGAACAGAACTGATCACGGCAGCGGCAGAGCAGCCCGCAAGAACCGTTTGAAGCTGCCTCTGGAAACCAAACCTGTGCGATTGCACACAATCAAAACATTGAACAGCTGACGCACTTCCCTCTCGTTCGCACACGCGCGTCTTATCAGCATAGGAATGTGCTGCCAGAGAGAGCGAGTGAGAGACAGAGCAGGCAGGCAGCATATTTGCGGGCGCCAGCGTCGGCAGCGGACAGCACCAATACAAATGCCTTAACAGAAATGTTTTCCCTTTCCTCCTCCTCTATGCAACAAATCGATTGACGGACTTTAATTTTCAGATCGATTTGATCCATCGATATGACCTTGCCCCACAAATGGTGCACTGCGTTGTTTTTTTTGGGACAAGGAGCTTTTTGTTTGGCCAACGTGCACTTTTGACCTCTGTCTCTGCCTCCGTTTTTCATATTCAATCACACACACGCACACAGCGTTTTGGGGGCGGGCACTACCGTTCAGCAAACACTTGGGGGCTCAGCCGCACAACGCACACACACGACGAACACGCAATGACGCGGCGCACACGTTTCTCAATGAAGCTCTCTACGTATTACGTAGTTTAATTGCAATTTAACACATATTTAATTAAAATGCGAGGAGCGAGCCCTCGCCCTCCCACCAGGGCTGCAAGTTTTGGGATTGCGCTTATAAACAGCATAGTAATGTGCTAAAAAATACCAAATAATGACAAAAACGCAAATGTGAGCTAGAGATGGCAGCGAATAATCGTGCGTTGCATTTTCTGGTTTCTGACTTACATATGTCACTAACCATATACACCGAACATGTCGCAAACATGGTTCCTGCGGATTTTAATCCATGGGTGCACATTTATTATTAAATTTTTCATGTATAAGTTTCGGATTGCTGGCATTTGTGGACAATTTCCTTTATTTTAATTTATTGTGTATTACTTTTGGGGCTGACAGTTTTTGAAGACTTTTGCCGTACTCTAAGAAGAAATGTTATACATAATATATTTCATACATGATATCACATTGGAATAATTTTCATTTAATATTACATATGTATATATATGTATATAATAAAGTCGCATTAAGATAAATACTATACAGTATGTACTATCTAGTATCCTTTTTAATATTGTTTTTATTTTTCCCCAATTTGCATAGCTCCCAAAAGTATGCACTACATTTTTGTTAATCGCTAAAGCTGGCGGAAATTAAGAAATTAATTAAATTTTGAAACTCGATACCAGGCGAACAGATCGTCAACGAATTGAAGGTGGTTGATATGATTGGATATATTGCCATATAAACCTTTTTTTCATGTGGTTGGCTACCCTTTTCCAAAGGTTCAAATACATCAAAACAGTTGTGGTAACTAAAACGGTTTTGAAACGGAATCAAGGGATTTTCTTTTGAACTAATGGAAATCGCAAAAATGTTCTTCAAGACGATATATGTATGTATGTATCAAATCGTTTCAAAAAAACGTTTCAATAAATGCTGCTGTAGCATGTCCCGCAACATGGACGCAGGATGGGCAACCATTGCGACTGGTTTTTTTTTTGTTGAATCTTGAAAACTAAGGGTTTTAGTTAGCCAGAATTATTCGATGGAATATCAAAATTGAGGAATATGTAAAATATAACTTTAATTCGTCAGTATATTTTTGGTATATTTTGAAAATGAGACAGTATATTTCTGAGGGCCTTATCGATAAGTCGAATATCCATTTTCGCTAAAACCTCTTTTTACGCCAAATCCAATAAAAGCGAGTATTTAAAATAAACCAGTCAATTAGAAAAAAAGGTTCATTAATTGGATACAATTATGTGGGCATGGCTAAATCTTCCATATAGCTGATATTCGACGGAAGATCGAAATTGAGGGAATCGTCGTATTTGTTGAATCGGTAATGGCCCGGTTGACAACATTTAAATCCTTGTCGCTCACATTCAAAAAAGTTATATTTGGCGCGCATCACTCGTAACCAGTCGATAGTATCGATAACCGAACTTGAATCGGGTAAGGACCTCTTTTACCCGATTGACAACAATGAGTCTCATTCCATGCACACATACCCTGGGGGAAATGGATGTTATAGAATTGTGAATATGTTTGTCATCCCAGGCAAAAACAATTTATTTTCAATATATTTTAATATTATTTAATATTATTTTCAATATTTCAACGATATTTTAAAGCTTATTGTCTTCTTGAAGAGACCAAGAATAGGTATCAGGATCGAGATATGTATACAAAACACTCATCATATACATGAATATGTCTAAAAAATGTCAATTTGAGAAAAGGTCTTTATTAGTTACGTTTTAACTTCATATTAATATTTATACTTTCATATAAAATTAACAAAATAGGGTATACAAAGGCCTATACTACGGCTTACACGAAATATAGCGACTCTTTTTTTGTTGAACTTTTTCGTTTAAACCTTTTTTTACAATAAATGCAATAAAAGCAAGGATTAAAAACTATCCAATCTTGTAGAAAATTGATTCTTCAATGGGATAAAACTATGTGGGCCGTGCTGAGAGATTTAGTTAGTCAGCATTATTCAATGGAATATCAAAATTAAGCCTTAAGCAATTCCTTTTTCGTTTGTTTTGATTGACCTATTTCGATACTTGTTTTTTGTTTGACTTACATATTTCGCTAAAACCTCTTTTTACGCAAAATGCAATAAAAGCGAGTATTTAAAATAAACCAGTGAATTAGAAAATAGGTTCATTAATTGGATACAATTATGTGGGCATGGCTAAATGTTCTATATAGCTAGTAATATTCGACGGAATATCAAAAACGAGGAATGTAAAATAGAACTTGAATTCGTCAGTATATTTACGGTATATTTTGAAAATGAGGCGGTATGTTTCGGTATATTTCTGAGGGCCTTATCGATAAGTCCAATATCGATGCGCTCCCACCTTTAAATCTGTCATTATCGTTCCAATGAAACGCAAAAAGATACAGTTTTTCCTCCAAAAGTTCTCAGCATTTATATTGACGTAAAAATGGCTTTATAGTTTGTGCGCAAGCAACAACAACAAGCACCTAGGTGCCTCAACACAAGAACAACATGGAAACGTATAAAAAGCAAGCGTAAGTGCGCCAAAAAATCAAAGTCCCATCCATCCAACCATAACCCATTTCGCAATTTCCCGAAATCTGCACACACACTGCCGCACAGGTTTTGCACATTTATATTGTTGTTACTGCCGCTGTGTGTGTGGCTTGTATGGTTTCTTGTTTTCGCCAGAGACGTGGCAAAAAGCCCAATGGAATTGCATTGGGGCATGCAACACACACACACATGGAGTGGCCAAAAGATTGGCTGACGCAATCGCTGGCTGGAATTGAGTCACCGTCACCCCCGCGCGTTGCATCCTGCTGCAACACGTGCGTTTGAGGCGAGGGGTGAACAAGCCTCCAAAAATATGAGTCACATCTACAGTGGGAATTGGCTATACGAGATGAGGTTTCAAAGATAAGGAAGTTTTGTTATTTCCGCATTTTTGTATTCCTTTTTTGTTTACATTTTCCAGCTGTTATAGGAGCTCTCGCCGTAAACAAGTTTTCTCTGTTGCAATTTCTCTCTATTGAAGGAATTCGTTATCTGTAATTGTTGCTGTTCAAGGAACTTTCCCTCTGAACCAGTTTTCACGGTTGCATGAACTGAATCTCAAATTCTCTGCCAAACAAGTGCAGAAATGGCTTTCGCTGAAAGAATGCCTTCCCTCCAAGCACGCTTTCAGTAGCACTCCCTCTAGACAGCTTCTTAGGGCAGGCTTCCCGACCACTTACTCACCCTCCACATGTCCCCTAAACAACAAGATAAGGTATGATGTGCAATCTGAAGTTTAAGTTCAGGTTTGATTTTCACATTATTTCATGGAAATTGCGAAGATTTGGACGACCAGACCGCAACTCAAGAGGGGGGGTCGACGCCTGCTTATCAGCGTGACTACGCATTCAGACGTCAGCGTCTGTTTGGAAAACTATTTATTTCGTCTGAAAGGGTTCTGAGGTGCTACAGCGTCTGGCGGTCTTATCACTCGTACAGTGCGGGTCATCATCATACCTTTAGTGCGAAATCAGGGATTATGAGTTCTAAAAGGGTGTTTAATCAGTTTCGCGCGCACTGAACAGTGCAGGTCATACATTTAGTGCCAAATCATTAAATAAATTTACTAATTATTGAATCTATTGAATGTATATTATTGCAGCGCCACCATGGCATCCTCACAACAACAAGAATCACAGATACAACAACCATTCGCATTCTACGGACCGGATTGCATCTATTCAACATCTATTTGTATATCGAGTTTGACATCTGATTTTGACACTGAATATGGACACATCATCATTTCACCTGACAATGGAGAGTTTGGATCTACCGCGGGAGCTGTACTGGGATCACAAAATGGAGCCCCAGTCGCCAACATCGGCTGCGGAAGCCTCCGATCTGTTTGCGCTCACTGAGTCAGCAGACGGAGTGTGGCTCTATGATGACAACTTTGCAAATGGTCCGCTGCTCTTCTACCCTGCAATAATATCGGCTCCCTAATACTGTTTATGCATTTTTAGGCATTTCACTGATAGGAGATGAGGAGGGTCTGGCGCTGGATGAAGAAGCCTCATTGGATCTATTGGGCAACGAGGAGTTGATTGTGGAGTTTTTGGACCTGAAGGATGAAGGCAAGTCTTTAAAATGCAAAAAAGTTGCAAGGCAATCGATTAGAATTTCAGAGGATTGATAAGGCAACTAATGTCTTATCAAAGTTCATTGCTGATGAATGTCGAATATTTCTTAGCAATTTTAAGTACTTTTGTGAGGTTACTGCCAAAGATTATAATTTAATACCCACAGAGCTCTTGTATGTGTTTCGAATATTATAGTCCTTGATGTATAATGTACTAAGAAATCTCTATTGAATATTATTTTAAGTATCTATAATTATAATCGATTTTAGGTTAAGTTTGAGCCTATCCCTTCATAGATTCGGTAAAGTAAATCAAAATTGTTAAAGCTAAAGTTAAAGAAGTTCAACTGTGTTTATTTATAGAATATATTGTTTTTTCTTCGAAGTTCAAGTTAAAGAAAGTCATAGATGTTTATATTCGGTAAAAAAAAATCGTATGATTTTGAAAGAAATTGTTTTTCATGAATTGTAGATTCTTTTCGTATTCAGTTTAAATAAGGAACTCTGTTGTTGCCGATTCTCCATAGACTTTAGATGTAGTTTCTTGAAAGAATACCTCTATTGAATAGAATTGAATTTTCTCGTATAAGTCACGTCCGTATGTGGAAGATTTCCGTATCTTAAATGGAAGAAACAATTTAAGCCAAACAAAGATCATTCTAATATTGAAAACAGTTGGATTGTTTTACCTTTAACTCAAACAAACGGTTTTATTTCAGGTTGAATAACCCTGGAATGTCTTTCATCGTAAAAAGCATTCAATTCGCCAACGAAAGAGCGTCTTGGATTACGGGGATTCTCCCATACTTTATTTATTTATTAAGACTCAAAATACTGATAGCCTCAATGCAAAGAAATTCGAGCTATTCAAGCTCCTCTTATCGGAGGAAGGAGTCTTTTCCGACTTTTATATGTTGAAACAACAAAATCCATCAGATAATTTTAGTACAGAAATATAATAGATATACCCCATAGTTCAACTATTTATTGATATTTTGTTGTTATTTTCCCAAGCTGGACATTTAATGAAAGCTTCCTCGAATCTCGTCTTATCAACCCAAAAGCAATTATGAAACCATAAAATAATCGAAATTGAACAGAAACAGAAATCCATAATACATGTATAAAAATAGCAAAACAAAAACAAACAAAAAATCCAAACAAATTATAAATTCAGTTGAACTTTGAACGTCTGTCTGCAGAAATGGTAGACACAAGGCCCCCCAACAGGCACGGCACACATTTTGAATGCACAAATTTGAATATTTAATTTAGTTTTTAATGTAATATTATATAATACCTTTTCGCCTCTTGAATTCCATTGGCAGGGCACACACATAAACGGGGGCCCGCCAATCGCAATCTTCCCCCCGAATGGTATTAAGATTTCAAATATTTCTGAGGTGATATTTTTCTGTTCCAAGTGAAGTTGTGGAACCGGATCGGGTTTTCGCCCCAGTCAGCTTTTACTCTTATATGTGTATGTCTCGGTTTTTGTTGTTTTTAACATGATCGTAATTATTGTTTATAAACGTGGCCCACAAGCTCGGGCCAGGGCTCTGTAATGGCCACAACTGCAATGCGAGAGAGGCAATCAGCTTTTGTGTCGCTCGATCACGCATTGAGCGAGTGATCGCTTGAGCGCGCTCTCTCTTCCGTACACTCTTTGCGACGATCACTTTTCGCTCTTTTTCGATCCGATCTCTTTTGCTCTTAAAATGTATTTTGGAAGGAATCTACATTTATTTATAATCTATTTCCTACTAGCATACCATTCTGTTGGGCGTTTTGCTCTCTTTCGTTCAAACAACATCAAGCCATTCGAAAAATGTGCTGGATTGAAGGTTGAAACATTCTTCTGGCAAACCAGAAACACAACTTCTCGAGAGGTTCAAGGATTTATCAGCCTCCCCGATCAATGAACCAATTGACGCATATATGTACATACATTTTTTTGTTTGTAACATTTGCTTATGGAAATTTTGAGGGTTTTTCTCATTATAATAATGATATTTTTAAGCAGTAAACTTCTTTGTTTTAAGCAAAATTTACATTTAACTGGAGGACGTGCCCCCCATTTCGGGTAGGGTGTTCTTTATTTGGGGATTGGCCTGGTCGGAGCTCCTATAAATAACATTCTTAAGGAAGGGAGAGATATCATGTGCTAAAGAGAGGTCCGAACGTCATTGAACTTTGGACATATATCATATACATCATCATTTACATGAAGCGAAACCTCTTTCCTCATGCTACACAAAATGCACTGTTCGTTTCCATCTACCTCCTCCAAGTTCAAACATATTATAAAACACTTTTTGCCATTGGCAACAGACACTCGTAGCGCACCTCTATCTGCTCTATCTGCCTTGCACTTGGGGGTTAAACAGAGTTCAATGCACGTCACACAACCACCACCTGAAGTGAGGTCTCAAATTGTAGGGCAAACAAATAGATTTGATTTCTTAAACGGTACAGCGGGGGCGACTGTGCGGAAGAGGGGTGACTGAATTTCGATCGTATATTATACTCGTAAATTATTGATAATGATGTGCAAAATAATATTGTACTTACTATACACGTACATACATACATATATAATGTAATATAATATAATATGCATTGCTGTACAGAGCCTCCAGTCGATGGACAGTGGTTGAAAGTGGATCTAAAGAGAAAATTATATTTAACAGATATTTCATTACGTTTCAGTTCAGCCTTTCTATTCTTGAAATAAATATACATCATTCTATAGCTTTCCATAGGTATCATTTAATGACAAATGAACATTTTAATAGTACTTTGAGAGAACAAACAGTTTTTAAGATCAATTAGAAATTGATTTAATTAATTTATGGTTACTTTGTCTGTAGTATCCGAGTAATTTGAATTATACATTGTAGTCATTTTACTAATGGAAACACACCCATTTTAATTAAGTGTCTGGAAAACTGGTTTATCGACTCGACCTAAAAAAGTTACTTTAGTTACTGTCCAGAGGTATTCGTAGAGGTCAAATGTAAATTGAATCTTGAAAACTTTAAGGTTTTGAGATATAAGATTTGAAGTTTAGACTTTTGTAAACAAGTTTATTCCAAGCTATGACCAATATCCTATAGAAGAAATGTTCCAGATTTTCAACTTAAACGACAGAACGAAGGATTTTATAACCTATAAAAATGATCCTGATCTATTTAGCTGCCAGATTGCAGTGTCTTGAAATCTGTTAATTACACAACATCCTGATCAGAATGGAACTTGTCCGATTTTTCATATACATAAATATATGGCTTTTAGGTAACAAGTTTATATATGTAAATCCTGTAAAGAAAATTCCTAAAGCTTAAAATATTTTCTACTCGATATTTGGTCCCGAAAACTAATCTTTAATAGTTCTGACTCTCACATATCTCCAGATATAATGCTGAGAGGTAAATGATCACGTTCTAACGCTTTTTACAGCCAGAAAACGAATAAATGCATACCATTCAAAGCCATAATACAAGATCTCCGCCAACTTTCACTTGTCTTTTGGGCTTCCAGCTGGCAGCAGTTTCTGTGCACTCCCGCACCACTGTGTCCCACAGTCCATTGGCTCGCCTCGTATCATCATCGTATCGCCTCGGCTTCCACTGAGGCTTAAACTCTGGGGCTCGTGCTGTGAACAAGCGGTTGCCCCTGTGGTGGTGCTGTTGCTGCCGCTGATAGCATCTCGTGCTCAAAACAACAAGCCAGAGATTGATCTTATTGCAGGGCTCTGCTCTCTGTCTCCCCGCAGTCTGATTTCTCTCTCTCTCTTTGGGGTCTCTCTTTCTCGATCGTTCTCTCTCGTTCGCTCTCTCTGTGAAGTCTCGACTTTGGCCAAAGCAAAACCTTGCACACTTTGCAAACGCCGTTCAGTTGAAAATCGTTACTCAGACGGCGTGCGTTCCGAATACGAAACTCTCGGCTTTTGGCTTTGGATTCAGATTCAGCCACGCCCCCACCCACCCCCTGCCACCTAAAACCACAACAGAGAAACAACACACAAAGAAACTGCCTAAAGACAATAACAATAATAACAACAACAACAACAGCGAATAAGCATAAAAATAACAACAAAAAGCACACGTCTTGGCGTTTCGAAAACGCGCAAAAGACAGACAGACGAGAAAACAATCTGAAAAATTGATTTAAATTGAATTCCATTTCGGGAATAAATCAGAGCAAATATCTGAGAGCACAGTGAATCGATTCGGTACCGCAAAAACGGCGCCAAACAAAACGAAACGTGTCCGCTTGAGGGGATCTTCGATCAGAGCCAACTATATGTAGCCTGATCTCCAGGATTGTATAGAACCCGAACCCGAAGAGTGACCCGAACCTCTGACCATTCGAGTGTGAGAATCAAGGACTTTGTGAGCATGATACCACACTGTGGATACCGCTACATGTGGAACCGTGAAATTGTGATCAATTCGCAAAAGTTGGTGAAGCGACGCTAAAAACGAGGATTCGATCCCACGAGAGTATCCAGCCACACACACATCTTGCGGCAGCAGTTGGATCCTAAGGGAAATCGAGACCAAAAGACCAGACGACACGACACGACAGATCCACAGACGATAGACATTCCTTATAGGAAAAAAGCACTCAGTCTCCACTCGAGATACGTTTAATTTTTTTTTCCACGTGTTTTTTGTGTGTTTTCAGTTCTTGATCTTTTTGTAAATTTGTTTTATATATTTTCTGTTTTCGTTATATTATTTACACTGGCCTAAGTGCTGCGACAACACTTTGGATTTGAACATTCAAAATTGACACTGTGATTTTTTCTACCCCCTTTTCTGTTGCAAATATTTAAATATACAAATAATAGATAATTACGAAATATCATTCTGATAAAAACAGCATTTCTCGTTAATATTAGAACTTAGGTTTCGTTTTCTAACTTGTTTGATATTTTAGTTTAGGTTTTCATCGATTTATTTTGAGTTTAGTTTAGGCTCTAAGACATCCCACATTTTTAGGCGTTTCTTGCGCTACTTTTTATCTACTCTTTTACTGCCTGATACTTTTGTACTGCACTGAAACTTGAGACACGCCACACAATACACCACCACCACCACCACACGCCCCACTTCCTCAACGATTCACTGCTGCCGCGAAGATGAGTACATATATATTTATGCAAGCCTATGGTTAGTATCTGATAGACTATCCCTGATATGATATGATATGTGTATGCCTCAAAGAATGTGCTATTCTATTTATTATTATAGGCATATTATCTATAAGCAAATACAAGGGAAAACAGGCTCAAGAAAACACTTGCCATTCGACAATATTTGTCTTTCTCCATACTTCTTAAAACTGATAAAAATAGAGCGGGTTATGCTTTATAAAATGCGCTAAAATTAGAGGAGTATCATGTTGTAAGGGATCTCTCCGCACTATAGCGATGTTTGAACTTTTCCGATTACTCGTATAAAATTACCACTACAAGATGTTATAAGTTGTAGATCATGTGGAATGAAATCTTATATATTCATCACTGTCAGTAAAAGATCTTATGGGGTATGTACATAAGGAACATTTTTTATAAGCACCTTTCCATCCCACAAGGCTCTTCAAATACCACTTTAAATTCACCTCAGAACGATCTGCCATATTCATGCTCTTAGTTCCTGTTTTAATGCACATTCGTGAGACATTCTTCCACTTGCCGACGGCATTTTTGCATATACTCGTATTCAGCCTCAGGTCTCATCATAAGTCTGACCCACTGCTGCACTTGCTCTTATCAAAAATTATTGTCACCCCACGTCTCGCATCACTATCTCTCTTGTGGAGGAGACGGAGACACATCGAAGAGATACGATTACGAAATGAAGATGAGCTGTAGAGTGTTTTCACATCTTTCTTCTCGATGATGGACTTACAGACTCCCCTTTGTCTCTGGTGTCAACTCCAAAGTCTGGAGCGGTTGCTCCAGCTACAGCTCCATCTCCATCTCCAGGCTGCTGCTTCTCTTTGAGACGACTTTCCGGTCAAGCGGGTTTAACGCCAACAACTTGCTTCGTTTTGCACTTCATTTCATTGTTTTATTCTCTCTCTCGCTCTCTGCGGCGAACGCTTTCAGTTTAATATTTATAAAACCCATTTGCATATTATGACTGGACTTGGGGATTGGGGATTGAGGCTGGTGTACACTTGGGCTTTTTGTTTGGTTTTCGGGGCTCGACAAACATTCAAGACTCACATCCGAAACTAGACAAATCCTGCTTTTATTTTCGTAGAGATAACCCCAATCAGAACCTTTATGAACTTGCGAATAACCTTGACCTACTAAGCGAATTTAGGATTTGGGAAAGTATGAAAATCATCACGGAAGCGACTTCAGACTTAAAGGTGTTCCATTTTCACTCTTGGGGAATGCTAAGTTTCTCTGGGAATTTTAGCATTATTTTTCCCCCCAATATTGTTTTCCCCAAGAGGCTTATTTGTTATTTGTGTAGACAAAAGGCATTTTTGTGCGTCAAGGTTGTACGTTTGCTAATCACGTTCCCATTAAATATTAATATTTGTTCGTATATAATTTATTATATATATTCTTTTCGTAACGATTGTCGGGGAAAACTGGCATTGTAGTTGTCTCTCTGCCTCCCGCTGTCGTTGTTCTACTTGATATTCCGCAAATGGCAACATTGTAGTCGGGACCTAATCGCTCTATAAGTAAGAATATAAGTAAGCTATCTATTAAATACGAGCTGTGAACAAATGGCGTAGCAATCAGAACAATGGAAAATAATGTAGAGGCAGAAGATGTAGAAACTATTCTTGGGCACACTATTATCATGGATCGTTGTAGGAGAGTAATGTTGCGGGGAAATGTCGGAGAACTCATGTGTGTGCCTCGATAAAAACGTTTTTCATTGGTCTCTTCCTTAGGTAAGATTATGAAGCATACTTTTGGGTAGCCTATTTATAATAACTAAGTTCTAGAAACTCGATTTGATAGTTCTCTTATCGTCAAAGATCATTTAAATAATAGCCATAGAAATAATTACTTATCTAGTATATTTATTGCTTTTAATCAACTTTTTTTGCATACCACACCGAGCAGTGGCCGAGGCCGAGATCGTGTCTTAAACATTTGAAAATCTCGTTAATTAATTGAGAAAGCAAGGCGTTATAAGTCGACAAGCAATTATGATACTGTTTTCCAATTCTCATAAACAACTATTTATGGACATTTGAACCATTAACCATATGGAAGGAAGCACTTAGTATCCACGTGTTTCGGTCCAACAATGGGTGTTTTTGTATTTCCCATGTTTTTCATATAGAAAATCGTATAATAGAAATGAAAATTCAAATCAGCCAAGGCGTGGCCACACAATCGAGAGTTCGAGAGTCTCTGCTCTGGCTCTGTCTCTGGCTCTGGCATTGTAAATTAAAACGAGATTTTTATGTAAATGCATTCTTAATGCAGTTGCAGTTTTTGCTCTGGTTTTCAGGTATTCAAGCGCAGCTGTTCACCCGACGGGGGGAGATAGCTCTATAGGTAGATAGATAGATCGGTTGTGGATCGATGATGGGGGAAACGTGTTATGCTAATGCCTGGTCTAGGGAGAGGTGAATGGCGCCCAAGGTGTCTGTCTGTCGGTCAATTTGTCAAAACAGGTGTTGCCCTGAAGTTTCTCGAAGGTCTATCTCTATTCGCTGGAAAACTCTTACTCTCACTTGGAATTTCCGCCGTCATCAGACAATGAAAAACGATGTCGTCGAACTAGGTTCAATATTTGACGTCTCCCTGTCGTATCTTTCCTTCATCTCAAGTTGGAATCAATAAAAACAATCAAACGCATAGAGAAGGAAAATATGCCACAATCAATATGTAAATGTTGACTAGAGTTCGCTCCGAACGACACGAGCGAACGCTGGCGTCCTTCACTTCAATGGAAATAAGTTTCATCAATTGGGTATGGAAAAATATTATAGAAAAACAACAATTCTTTAAAGGGGAAATAAGACGTAGTTGTTGTTCTTTAAGTGCAGTCCAGGGCGGAGGAGGAGATAGATGGAAAGGAAGTTTCTTGATTAATGAACGATTCGTTAAGATTTAACTAGACTTCTTCTCTAGTGTTCCTTAAGATGCACTAGTCTTTTAGAACATATTTCATTACCTTATACTAAGGGGAAACCCCGCTGCGCCAACCCCCGACTCACTCGTTTCGATCTACCGCGCCCAAAAGTGTTTTATATAATAGATACGTATCATTGACTGTACTATTAAGAGGCACGGATCCCAAAGCAACCGAGTGGCGCTGCTGTATTACGCTCATCACGTTTGGCTACACGTTGCACCGATTATAGGTCTTTACAAAAAATCAACAAAAGTTAAACAAGATCGGAATAATGTGTAGAATACAAAAAATCTACGACTATCTCTAAGAATCTTCTGTGCAATAAGAACAAATTAAGTTGTTACTGAAACCTGATGAATATTGATATGAATAATATAGTATATAACAAGACTAAACCAATTTGCAGGAGAATATACTAAATTAAGACTTCAAACCATTAGAATTCCAAACAAGTTATCAAAGGGAGACACGGATTCAATTAAATGGAAATTGTTCTACCATAAATTGGTACTTAATCTCATAGAAAAACAACAATATTCTAATCTGTTTCTTCAAATCTTTTTATAGAATGCCTCCTGGACCAAAAGGCCCATCTGAACTGCATTGATTATGAGACAAACACCTACATCCCAAATGTAGTCGATGCAGTCGGACAGCCGATAATACCCACAACCAAAGCACACTTTGCTGCTGCTATAGCTTCGCCTGTGGCTGCTGATGAGGAGTACCAGCCCGTGGATCCCTCATCGATCCTGCAGTTGACGCCACCGCAATCGCCGCCACAGTCGCCGCCTCAGTTCGATGGATACAAACAACAACCCGAACTGTCGCCAGCACCGGTACTCGTCAAGGTCGAGCAGAAGGTAAGTTGAAAAATAGATTCACGCTTCAGGAGAGTCTTACTAAAGTTTGCTCCTTTTTATAGCCATACTATGCCACTGATGCTATTCCGGCCGTTGCACCGGCCACGCCGTTCAGCTTCAACGCTGGACACTGGGTGGCGGGCAGCGAGATTGCCCGGGAGAACCAGTTGATCGATGACATTGTCAACATGAGAGCGCAGGAGCTGGAGCTGCCCCCCAACTGGCAGCAGCTGAACGATGACTGCGAATCTCAGGCCTCGTCTTCGATGGGTTGCAGCAGTAGCAGCAGCAGCAGCAGCAGCAGAGTGAGCGGCAGCATTGCCGATGTGGATGATGACTGGCTGCCAGAGCAGACAAGCAGCAGCAGCTCATCCCCTGCTTACACCTCCATGGAGAACACCTCGATGGCTGCTCCCAAGAAACGCACTCGCACCTACGGACGCGGCGTGGAGGATCGCAAGATCAGGAAGAAAGAGCAGAACAAGAATGCCGCCACACGCTATCGCCAGAAGAAGAAGATCGAAATGGAGAGCGTGCTGGGCGAAGAGCACGAGCTGACCCAAGAGAACGAGGGTCTGCGTCGCACCCTGAGGGAGCGTCGCAGCGAGATGCGCTACTTGCGGCAGTTGATACGCGAATTCTACCAGGAGCGCAAACGTTAGGCATGGCGGCATCCCTCCCATCTAAGTTTTAAATGTCCTTTGCAAAGTTATCGTTATAAAATGTTACACAAAACCAAGCATCCTCATTACCAGAACGAAACACCACAAAACAAACAACTTTCTATGTACAACCAGCAATCATCCAATGTCCAAGCCCCACGCCCAATAGTAGTAGGAGTACCAGCAGTCTGTCTTGGCCCGCACCTTTTGGCACTCATGACGAGTCCCCGTGGACTCCGAAACCCCTCCTGCCAGTGCGGCCGCCAACGACAAAACAAGATCCCCCAGCAGCACAGGCCAATGTGTCGCCTTCCAGTGGCACCAAGAATTTGCACCGAAAAAAATGCACCCCAAATGAAAACCTTTTTGTGTAGTCTCCTAAGAAAGTATATGCCAACCCCCTGTGCTGTGGCTGCTGTGCATGTACTCGTTTGATTAGTTTTCCTTTCGTTTTTCTTGGACATTTTCTTGACAAATGTAACAGATATCTTTCTTATTTTTTTTAACAAATAAATACCTGTATGCAGAATATTATACAATATATATATCAGCAATAAATCAAAAGGGTTTTCAAAAGAAAGAAAAAACAAAACCATTATCAATGTTTTTGGGAGTATTTTACGAGTCCTTACAAAGAAGGAAAATAATGGAATGGAATTCTAGCAGAATTTTAATTTTAAGTATAGAAATTTGTCTTGAAACTTCTTAGAGGTGCCTATGTTTATTGGTTTAAAGGCTTATTTTAAAGATATCTTCATAGGCAATGGAATATAAGGAAACGATTCAGATTGTAAGCTGTTTTGTCGTTGCTCTTCCCTGTATCTAAGGTTTAGGTCTAAGCGAAGAGAATGAGAGTGATTTCTGGCACACATCACAACTGGAAAATTATTTCCCCATAAAATTACAGCACGTTCTACAGAGCTTAGAGTTTCCCGGCTGCATAGACCAAACACTACCAGAAATGACATAAAAAATGTTCAGCTAGAAATCTAAAACTTGCTCCAACAACAACTAATACCAAATAGAACCACTTTTTATTGTTCTTGTGCATAATGGACTCTTGTCTTTTGAGCTACAGATTCAATGTCCTGCACTCCAGTTTTCCTGTAAAACTCAACCTGAAAAACCGTCGAAAGACATCCCTCCAGCTGTAGCCGGCTTTAGGGCGCATTAGCTCTGCTATCGAAAGAACTTTGCTTAATCAATTTGCAATCAACAAGTTTTGCAGCGAAACTCCTACCCACTCGAGCGTGGCACTCGCACTCCCACATGTGGATGTGGATGCCGTTGATGACGTGGGCATAATCGGATTATGATTATATCGATGTCGTTGTCGCCGTCGCCGTCGCCGTCGATGTCGATGTCTATGCGGGAGTTATTAGCTTCAAATCGAGTTTAGGAAGGGGAAAATGCATTGAAATTAAATCAAGAGAATGCCAATTAACGTGAAAAATGCCTGAAGATGGAGATTGATGCACTCGAAAATGCTGTACACCGGGCAGCCAGAATAGAATCAAAACAAAACGATTTCTCAATGCCTGGCATTGAGATTGGGATTGAAATTCGTGTGGGGGTGTGTGGGATGGGTATTCGAATGAAGGTTTCGCTTCTCTCTGGGATTTGCAGCGCCCTGGACATTTTGACTGATGAGTCGACGACGTGAGAGCCACACACAACACACAAGAAAGGAAACAACTCGGCAGCTTCTTTGGGCTTCTCTTTCGCCATTTTCACTACTAAACTAAATTTTCCACATCGTTAATTTATATTAATATGATTTCTGTGTCAACGGTCGATGCGTTTGCCGTCGTCTAGAGCTCTGCTCTTCTCCCCATCGTTGTCGCATCGGTGGCGACTCCCCCGTCGTGTACGGTGCGGTGGCAGCGACAAGAACGACGACGAAGACGACGACGACGACGACTACGGCGATGACGCCCATGGAGGTCGCCGTCGCAATGTTTATCTAAATTGTTATTTTTCACACTCCACGCAGTTCAATGAATTCGTGAAAATTACGTTTGGGACTTTGTGTTTGCTCGGCGCGCCGTCGCCTTCTACGGAATATACTTCATCTTCCGTAGAGCCCATGGATGATGGTGACTCTTTAAGCGTTCGCCGGGTAAGTATATTGGCATAAAATTCAATTTTCCTCCATTGTGTTAATCCTGTTATTAGCTCTCCGTTCTGCTCCCAGGAATCCTTTCTATTCCCCCACACACACAGCCAAACACACACGCTCCCGCACGGGATTGGGGGCAGGACTGGGAGTCGCGTTTGGCGGCGGGACTGAGATTTTTTTGATGAATGTTTCAGGTCCTTCAACTCGTTCCACCCCTACTCAAACATAGCATGGGCGGGCATGGGCGGTTAAGGGTTATGTTTGAGCTTTCTTTCTTTCTTTATTTCGGGTGGAATTTCCTATTATTTGTATATTTATTTGCGGGCAAATTGGGATTCTTATTAAAATGTAACTATTCGGAATACATATAGAAGTAGGAGCAATTCCTTGCAAGAAAACTCCACTTTTAGAAGGGTATTAAATTTTTGGGAAATTTGTACCTGTTAATCCAGGAAAACATACAAATTCTTAGATGCCATACAAAAAAACAAAGAAAGAAAGTCTTTCGTGATTTCCCCTTGGGAGAGATAAGTAGAGTCAGAAGTGGCCACAAAAAGGGCCACAAGGGTCCACAAAAATTTCATATCTAATGAAAGGATTGAAAGTATTCTTTTTAAGGACTATATGTCTACGCTTTGAAGCGAGATAAAGAGAGGAAAAAAGCGAAGAATAAATCGTAAGATTATCAATTGTTTCCAATACACAGAAGTGCAAGAAGAATATCGACCTCCGCAAAGGCCTGTCGGCGGACATGGGCCGTCTTCACCTGAACGAACTGTACTCGGATGTGGAATTTCTGGTGGAGGATCGGCGTCTGCCGGCCCATCGATTTGTTTTGTCCGCAAGGAGTATGTACTTCCAAGCCACGCTCAGCAGGGCCACGGCAAAAGGCTCAAAGGCCTGTCAGATTCGAATGGAGGTGCCTCTGGATCCATTTAAACTGATTATTGGGAACACTGGCACACTGGACGTGGCTGGCATAATGGGTGTTCTATTTTTCGTACATTTTTTCGACTTCCCAGTACTCGAGCCGGCCACAGCCCAACATCTGAAGGAGAAGCTAACCATGGACTACGTGTTCATCGTCCTCAATGTAAGGCATACGATCTGAACGACCTAGCCAAAGATCGACTCCAGTTCATCGACATCTAAAAGAGCACATGACATTTCTAGCTCTGGCGAAGGAAACACTTGAGGAAATACTGCAACAGAGACGTTCTATGCCCACGAGGTGGCCATCTTTAGATCTATGGAAAAATGCCACAACCCGATCATAGGCATCAAGTCGGTGCTCTCCCACCCCACATACGTCTGTCGAGACTTAATTTTGAAGATTTTCTGAATGTGAGAGTTCTCTCAAGCAACGTCGAGACGGAAAAACTAACTGGAGCCATCTTCGGGATGAGCATTGAAAAGAAACTACCCTACCAGCATATCTTTGCCCCAAAGTGGGAACGCATGGTATTTAGCAGGCAATGTGCTATTCTACCTTAAAACCATTAGTTTGACAAAGGAGATCGTACTTACGCTTACATATGAAACATACAATACAATATTACATACAATAAAATACACTGTAGGGAGGTGGTTCGTCGTTCATCACAGGAAGCGGGTATACGACCCATGATTGTCAGCTTCCGGGAATATCCCGTCCGCTACATTGGGGGCATGGGATTGGCGCGATGGGATCCTTCTTTATTCAAAATATTGCTGCTGACGGCAGATAATCGGCTGACCAGATAATCGACGACCAGGAGTGATCCCACTAACGATAGAATTGAAATACTCCAGAAATGTTCAATCACAAAATCAATCTTGCCATTAATTTCCTTTATTGAGTTTCCCTGCTTTACCAGAAATCCCTTCTGCGGTTTACATATCAATTTCACACACACAGGCACATTCGTTTAGCGACCGAATCGGTTTCGAGTGGAATTGTAATATTAAACCACTGGTATTCCAGTTCCAATGTCTCCCCAGAGAATTCGCTGGCGGAGGAATAAAGAGAGGGAGAGGGGCGAGAGAGAGAGAGAGAGAAATCAACGTCATCGTTAAATTTAATTAGGCATCAAATGACCAAACGGCCCAAGAGAACTAAATCAAAAGCCAAATGGCCTGAAAGCGACCCAAGTGCAAGAGCCATCGTCACCCATCACCCATCTCGCCCTCCCAAGCCTTAGCCCCCCCAGGAGGGGTTGGGTGGGTGGCCTTAACACTTTAAAACACAATTAAAAGTCAAAACGTCAGTGCCTTGGTTTGGCCTGGGTGTGTGTTGTAAATGGAAGCCAGTGGGCAATCCCCCAAGGACCCTGGAGAGTCCGCCAATGAGGCGCCAAGAGAGAAAGTGTGTGCCAGAGAGGTGGAACATGACACTCTCCTTTACATAACATTTAACAAAATTATAATGAGGCATAGAACGGGAATTGTGTGGCATAGAGCGGGCATTGTGCGTGGCCTGGTATCCTTCGGGGGTGATTGGAAGCTTAACCCTTGGCGCATGTTAATGAGATGATGTGAGGAATAAATTTACGCTTTTTTTGCATAGCTTTTTATTTTTCGGTCGATTCTAAAAGATAATCTCATGCATGTGCGGACGGGGAGGAGGAGGAACAGGAGCAGGAGGATTCGGTGGCAGTGGCAGTGGCTGTGGCTTATGTAATTGCTTGAGTGAGTCATGGGTCATGAGCTAACCGTATTAGGCATCCATTAGTATAAATTCCATTATAGAACTGAGCAAGAAACTACAGAGAAATAAGAGAGAAATGGGTTGCCTCGAAAGGCCGAAGAATTAAGTACACTTTTTAGGAACATTACTCCTATGATAGCTCTCTATTATAAAGAAAAAAGGTTTATATTGCTTGAGAGAGCTAAGCGAGTGTGCAGGGGGTTTGCCGATTGGTAGACCTATATTATAGGTGTTTCCGATTTTGATGAAATTTTTCTGAGCCAGTCTTTGAGAGAATGACATGAATATAATACATACACCAAATTTGTTTTGTTTAGATTACGAGTGTCTATAGAAACAGCAGCATACATAGCCCTATCCGACTGATGAGCGCTTCTGCATAACGCGCAATCAGTCTATTTATTTCAATATTTAATATTTAAAGCTTCCCTTTCAGCATAACAAATCACTATTCAACATCATAACACCCTCTACAAGGGTATAAAACATATACACTCCCAGAAATACACTTGCAGAGTAGGATGTAGGATGTAGGATGTGTATTACTCATGTAATTATCACACACACAAAAACAAACAAAACAGAAATTGGTTTATCTTTCAGCACGGGACAAAAGCTTCCCTTTAGATGTTCATAATTACAGAGTACCCGGAGGAGTTTCACTGCGAGTGTGGAGTGGCTGCTGCAGGAAGAGAACTCCCGTGCCAGATTCAATTTGAAGCAATTTCATTTGGCTTTCCATTTGATATTCCT